CTCATGGGGCCCCCGGGCAATAGGGGATCATGGGGCCCCTGTGTCCTTGCCCAAACTCAAAAAAGCCTGTGCAAAAGGTACCAGGGGCATCTCATGGGGCCCCTCCCTACTGACCCCGGGCCCTCGGGCAGTGCCCGAGTTTCCAAATGGTCAGTCCACCCCTGGAGACCGTACAATTACAATACATTTCAGTACAGAAGGAATATGAGTGCCCTGCTCGTGGAGCTTACAATCTAAAGGAAAGGGGAGGTGGTACAAAAGGTGATAGCTGTGGGGTATGATCTGGTGGAGGTGATTCAAGTACAGTTGTTAGGTGGAGGTGGGGTAGGCTTCCCTGAATAAGTGAGTTTTCAAAGATTGCCTAAAGGTAGACAGGGTGGAGGCTGACCGGACATACTGTGGTAGAGAGTTCCAGAGGATGGGGGAGGCTCTGGAGAAGTCCTGGAGGCAAGCGTGGGAGGAGGGAGCTAGAGAGTAAGATATCTTGGGAGGAGCGAAGTGGGTTATTTGAGCAGTATCTGCGGATGAGGTTGTGGTCATGTACACTGCTCTATGCACACTACGAGGTGTCACAATTTAGTTCCTGGAATGCACTCAGCGTAGCACTATAGTGGTGAGTCTCACAGCCAATCACACTTAATCATTGTCTTTCATGTTCTAATTTTCACTCACCTGGGTTGCAGACCAGTTGACTTTACAGAGCAGTAAAATAAGTAACGTGTGTGCATTGTGCTGTTGGCAGGAAAATGAGTGACAGGAATCTGGAGCTGCAGATTAACAGCAAGTTTTGTGTGAAAATTTGCAAAAGTGAAATTTTAGCTCTGTTACAACAGGCTTATGGCGAACATTCAATGAAGAAATCAAGTGTCTTGATTGGCATAGGTGGTTTTAGGAAGGGCAGGAACATGGTACAGTCAACGAGCATTGTTATTTGGAAATTCCAAAAAGGTTACAAGAATCTGTTCAGAGGAAAAAAAACAAAATTCTGGCCTGACAAGTGGATTCTCCACCACGACAATGCTCCTGCACATGATGTGTTAAGTGTTCACTAGTTCCTGGCCCAGAATCCAGAAAACAATATTCCCTGATTTAGCACCCTGAAACTTTTGCCTGTTTCCAAAATTTAAAAATGCCTTAAAAAGGACACAGATTTGATGACACTCTGGACATCCAGTGTGCCGCGACGAAGATACTGCGCAGCATTCTAGAAAACAATTCCAGGAATGTTTCTGGCAGTGTAACAGTAGTCTAGAAAAGTGCGTTGCTTCACAAGGGGACAACTTTGAAGATGACAACAGGCATCAGTCGATTTCTGAAATTAAATTGTCACACCTCATACAAATTCCATAGTCCATCCTGGGTGTGAACATGAGAGGGTGGCTACATTCCTACATACAGTGGGACCATGGAGAACGGATGTAACCACCCTCTAACAGGAAGTCCGATCACAGTAGAAAAAAAACATTTGGAGGAGGCAGATAGCAATAGAAGGGGCTTTTTGAGTTAAGAACACTTTTTTTTTTTTTTTTTTAAACCAGAGTTTAGTGTCACTTTATTTTCAGGAAAACTAGCAGGATGTGTCAATCCATGCTAAGGGCTGAGCATGACTGCCAACATCTACATGTATTTCAGAGCTCCAAGGCCTAGCAACACCACACCGCCATATAATTGAATTGTGTCACCTACCTTCACAATGTCCAAAGGTTCATGCCTCTGCCACTAAAAGGCCATCAAAATATCCATCAACCCCAGCTAGGCACCTGGCCAATTAAGTACCAGGCATGGATTCTTGGGCACCAAAGAAATCCTTACCAATTTGTCCATTTGCATGTAAAGGGAAACTTCAGCCAAATTCCCCTCTACATCTAGAAGTGGCCCTGGTCCAGAACAGTACTTCCTTGGAAAAGGCCAATTTGTGCCTCACTGCCTATCTATGTTGTGTGTGCCTGACATCCTGGATTCACCACAGATATGAATGGGATCAACTATTCACACTGTAATGTGCGTCTCATTCAGAAAATTTGTATATATTTTAGAAAGTTCCATCTCTGGAGTATGTTTTTTTGGGGGACAAAGACAAAGAGCAGTCAGTTTAGACATAAGTGTCTCACCACAAAGCCATTGACAGCACAAGCATTTTTATTCTTTACTCCTTGTTTGATCATCATTGAATATTTGTAGCAAATGACGCAGCAAACCTGTAGAGAGGAAAGGTGAAGAGGCTACTTCGAGTTGGCATAAGGCCTCAATAGATACTGTATGTAGACATTTGCTTGGTCTTTATTGTTTTATTGTACTCTGCAATACTAGCTGAGTATATCAAACTGAACAGCAGCCATCAATTGTCTAATATGGTTTCAGTTCAGTGTTTTATGTATTACTTTTATGTACATTTCATTTTTGGTGCAAGTTTATATATTTTGAATATAAAGTGCAGCGCTATCTCTAAATATACTAAATGATTATAAATATAAAGTGCAAACTGACTATTAAAGTGCTCCAAATATTACCACAAGGTACTAAATTAATGTGCAAAATTGTGCATTTACAAAAAATTGTGCAACCCGTGTATAACAAATCGTACGGATAAAGTGCAATTAGTGACAATCTTAATCACTCCAACCATCTGTTAATATGATGATATGATAATAAATCCACAGAAAATTTATTATAATGTCCAAATGCAAAAAAACTTTTTAACTTTTATCAATCTTCATGCATGTGTCACATGTGACCACACTGTGTGAATCCAAACTTTAGCCGTGATGGGCTCTCACCTCCTTGCCACGACCCCACAGGGTCAGCTTGCTTTTAAACAGGACACCACTTTAATAGCTCACCAGGGCCTTCCTCGCCTCTAATACTCTATCAGCAGTCTCCTCCTCAGTCCATATATAAACACAAGAGAGACTCACATAGTGTAAACCTGTTTATTTTATAAAATAAATATGGAAAAGATTGCCCACTCACATTTTTATTCGTCTCCTCACAAGCGTTCAATACCCCATGCTATAAATCTCCTGAGGTTAACCCTGAGGAAGTCACGTGTTACCGTGACGCAACGCGTCGGTACGCGAGGAGGATTCTGGGAGCGCGGTGACGTCATTTCCGGCGTGGTGGCCATATTTGAAATCCCTGTATCAAAATACCCATGCAGGAGATTTATAGCATGGGGTATTGAAGGCTTGTGAGGAGACGAATAAAAATGTGAGTGGGCAATCTTTTCCATATTTATTTTATAAAATAAACAGGTTTACACTATGTGAGTCTCTCTTGTGTTTATATATGGACCGAGGAGGAGACTGCTGATAGAGTATTAGAGGCGAGGAAGGCCCTGGTGAGCTATTAAAGTGGTGTCCTGTTTAAAAGCAGCTGAAGCTGACCCTGTGGGGTCGTGGCAAGGAGGTGAGAGGCCATCACGGCTAAAGTTTGGATTCACACAGTGTGGTCACGTGTGACACATGCATGAAGATTGATAAAAGTTAAAAAGTTTTTTTTGCATTTGGACATTATAATAAATTTTCTGTGGATTTATTATCATATCATCATATTAACAGATGGTTGGAGTGATTAAGATTGTCACTAATTGCACTTTATCCGTACGATTTGTTATACATGGGTTGCACAATTTTTTGTAAATGCACAATTTTGCACATTAATTTAGTACCTTGTGGTAATATTTGGAGCACTTTAATAGTCAGTTTGCACTTTATATTTATAATCATTTAGTATATTTAGAGATAGCGCTGCACTTTATATTCATTTATTCATTCACTTTGGCTGGTAAGGTGTTTTGTGTCAGCAGCTTGGTGAATAGGGCCCCATTCCTAGCGCAGGAAGTTCTTACATTTAGATTTTTAGTTTATATATTTTACCGTTTTTTTTTTTTTACTTTCTCGCTCATTTTTAATTTTGTAATACACATTATTTTAGCTCCTCTATACATATACATCTTCTAATTTTATGAGTTAATCGAATTTCATGTGATAATTTAATTGGCATTAAGTTATTGTTTTTCTTTTATAATATGTAGTGTTCACCTAATTGTATGTATACTTGGACATTATTAGTATTACGTTTTATATTTTTTTCATATAGCCCTGATAAAGGAGGAGTGTTTTGGCCTCTAAAACGAGTTGAGTGTTTTTATTTGTTCTACTGTATTTACCAACTGTTAAATATACTGTGGACTCTTTTGTGTCTTTTAGTCTTGTGCTTCTTCCTTTATTTCTATGGTTTTAGTTACTGCTGGGTACTCATTGAACTTAGCTGTGCTGGGTGAGAGCCAACTTCACCAGAGCTATTAGACTTGTGGACGGGCCTATCATGCCCATGCATTAGAGATACCTTTGCCCCAGGGTGCATTCACCAATGCTTGGGACCTGGCATGGTCTACGGCCATGCGCACCGTCCAACATTAGGGCAGTTCCCCAAATTAGAGATACGCTTTCACAGCTTGTAGTAATAAAGCAGATTTTCTCTGATAAGTGGTGTCTCATAGCTCGACACACCATGACTTCAAGAGTAGGGTAGCAGCCAGTGTACCTCTGTTACCTCACTCCCAGTACCAGAATGCAATCCTGTGGGATACATAGTACAGACCCTATGCGTGTCCTGTGTTAACTATTCCATTCCCATACCATGCAGCTAGGCTGAGGATCTCCAAAACGCTGGTCTGCTGCTGGTAGCTAGGGGAGTCGGACCATTAGTGAAGGAACCAAGCAGCGGCCCCCTCTCTACTGGAGGAATCCTCATCTTACCCAAGTACCATACTTCGAATGGTTGCCATGTGTTATGCATATGTACTTGGTTACCTTTAGTAACAGCCTTATTCTCTTCTTCTTACATGCTGACTTAACATAGTAATTAGAGATGAGCGAATTATTCAAAAATTCGATTCGGCTGATTCGGCGAATTCGCGGAATAAATTCGATTTGAGTCGAATATATTCGCTGCGAATTTAACTTATAAAAAGGGTGTTTCTAGGCTTCAGAGAGCCTTTATATTAGTGCAGAACACTGTACCTTTAATTTAAATGCCCTTGGAGTCTGCTGGGGAAGAGAAATACTACTGTCAGTCAGTATGACATGCAGATGAGTGCCGTCGATCTTAGAATCACCGCACACTTCACTCATTTGGGCAGTCACGGGGCCAAAACCAGAGTGTGGAGCCACAGTGTGGCGGTGGAGGCAGCAGCAATGGGAAGCCATACAGCACCCTATGAAAAAATGGAACCCACCAGCAGTGTGAGGAGACCTGAAAGTGGCACATGGCAGAGTGTGGCGATGGAGACAGCAGCAATGGGAGGCCGTACAGGGACCCATGACACACTCTGGACCTGGCAGCAGCATGAGGAGGCGGTACAGGGGCCCATGACAGATTACGGGCCTGGCAGCAGCATGAGGAGTCGGTACGGGGGCCCATGGCAGATTACGGGCCTGGCAGCAGCAATGGGAGGCCCGTAATCTGCCAGCACCCTATGACAAAATGGAACCCACCAGCAGTGTGAGGAGACCTGAAAGTGGCACATGGCAGAGTGTGGCGATGGAGACAGCAGCAATGGGAGGCCGTACAGGGACCCATGACACACTCTGGACCTGGCAGCAGCATGAGGAGGCGGTACAGGGGCCCATGACAGATTACGGGCCTGGCAGCAGCATGAGGAGTCGGTACGGGGGCCCATGGCAGATTACGGGCCTGGCAGCAGCAATGGGAGGCCGTACAGGGACCCATGACACACTCTGGACCTGGCAGCAGCATGAGGAGGCGGTACAGGGGCCCATGACAGATTACGGGCCTGGCAGCAGCATGAGGAGTCGGTACGGGGGCCCATGGCAGATTACGGGCCTGGCAGCAGCAATGGGAGGCCTGTAATCTGCCAGCACCCTATGACAAAATGGAACCCACCAGCAGTGTGAGGAGACCTGAAAGTGGCACATGGCAGAGTGTGGCGATGGAGACAGCAGCAATGGGAGGCCGTACAGGGACCCATGACACACTCTGGACCTGGCAGCAGCATGAGGAAGCGGCAGATTACGGGCCTGGCAGATGACGACGAGGCTGCCAAGTGCGATCAGCCTCATCATCATCAATTAGGGTCTCCGCCTCACTACTAGCCCCCTCGGCTGCGTGTGGGTCAGGAGACAGACCTGTCTCTAGACCGGCTACCGAGCCACTCTCCTCGCCAGTACTTCTTCGCCTGGCTGCTGAAGAGGCGGATGTCTCCCCCGTTCCTGACCGCCCTCTGTTAGCTCTTCCTCACTGTACAGTGGGGCTGAGCCCACAGCATGCGATACTTCGCTTGGTGAGGGAACACCAAAGGACAGGGGCAGGTAGAGGACACGTGATTTCAGTGGGCTTGCTCCCGGGCCATGCCAACTAACGGTTGTGTCTGACGTACCCACCGACCGTTGGCTGTAGGTGTCAGAGGTGACCTGGGAAGAGGAAGACGACCGAGCCAACCAATCGATGACGGCAGGGTTGTCGGTGGAGACACGACCGCTGGATGACACCGGGAGCACTGGCCTCTGGCTGCGACTAGTGCTGCCTCGACCCCTTCCTCTGCTGCCACGTCTGCTCTCTCCTGAAACATTGCCTCCTCTGCCACTCCTCTGCGTGTTGTCTGACATACTCTTTAATTCAACGATTCTGTGTCCCTGAGTAACGATTCTGTGTCCCTGAGTAACAATTCTGTGTCCCTGAGTAACGATTCTGTGTCCCTGAGTAACGATTCTGTGTCCCTGAGTAACAATTCTGTGTCTGTCCCTGAGTAACGATTCTGTGTCCCTCAGTAACGATTCTGTGTCCCTCAGTAACGATTCTGTGTCCCTGAGTAACGATTCTGTGTCCCTCAGTAACGTTCTGTGTCCCTCAGTAATGATTCTGTGTCCCTCAGTAATGATTCTGTGTCCCTGAGTAACAATTCTGTGTCTGTCCCTGAGTAACGATTCTGTGTCCCTGAGTAACGATTCTGTGTCCCTCAGTAATGATTCTGTGTCCCTGAGTAACGATTCTGTGTCCCTGAGTAACAATTCTGTGTCCCTGAGTAACAATTCTGTGTCCCTGAGTAACAATTCTGTGTCTGTCCCTGAGTAACAATTCTGTGTCCCTGAGTAACGATTCTGTGTCCCTGAGTAACAATTCTGTGTCCCTGAGTAACAATTCTGTGTCCCTCAGTAACGATTCTGTGTCCCCGAGTAACAATTCTGTGTCCCTGAGTAACAATTCTGTGTCTGTCCCTGAGTAACAATTCTGTGTCCCTGAGTAACGATTCTGTGTCCCTCAGTAACAATTCTGTGTCCCTGAGTAACAATTCTGTGTCCCTGAGTAACAATTCTGTGTCTGTCCCTGAGTAACAATTCTTTGTCCCTGAGTAACAATTCTGTGTCCCTGAGTAACAATTCTGTGTCCCTGAGTAACAATTCTGTGTCTGTCCCTGAGTAACAATTCTGTGTCCCTGAGTAACAATTCTGTGTCTGCCCCTGAGTAACAATTCTGTGTCCCTGAGTAACAATTCTGTGTCCCTGAGTAACAATTCTGTGTCCCTCAGTAACGATTCTGTGTCCCTCAGTAACAATTCTGTGTCCCCGAGTAACAATTCTGTGTCTGTCCCTGAGTAACAATTCTGTGTCCCTGAGTAACGGTTCTGTGTCCCTAAGTAACGATTCTGTGGCCCTAAAGTCTCTCTGGCCCTAACTCTGTCCCTAATACAGACAGGTCTGTCTCTCTTGAATGACCGGAGGCTAATGGAGAATTGTAAGATGGCCACAATTTATAGCTCCACCATTACACAGTGCTGGCTGGCTGGCTGCTGATTGGCTAATGCGATCACATGTCATGAATGAATGCATTATGGGTCAGCGCGCCTTGTCTGCGCGCCTTCCCAGAGATCCCCGCTCCGTCGCCACACATGTCGCCGCCATTTTTGGGAAAAATCGATTCGTGCATCCGAAGTTTGCTAATTTTCGGATTCGGCGCGAATCGAATTTTTCCTGATCTTCGAAACGAATTCCACTTCGCCATGTTCGATTCGCTCATCTCTAATAGTAATGTAATGTATTTCATACCCCTCTAGTTCTTTACAAACCCAAGTTCTTCTTGGATACACCAGAACCACTATGCACCCCTTGATTAATTTCAGACAGGCTTAGGAAATCGGTTAATGTAACGTTTACTGAAGTTGCAACATAACAGTTCAATATGAACAATGTCTTTATCCTTAAACTAACTTCAGTGATTGGCGTCCCAGGCATACCTTCCAGAGGCAAGAGTCAATACTGGCAAAGTCCATTCTTGGTAGTACTCCAGTACCCTCTGTGGTAAAAGTAGGACTGAGCGGTCTTTCCCTCTCTTGAGTCTCGGTGGGTACAAAAGCAGCAGGGCTGGCTCTTGGGTCTCAGCCTTCCCCCAATTTATATCACAGATGGGCTGACTGAAGCATAAAAGGCCCATGAACTGGGATTGGACACATTAACCCTTCCTAACCTAGCCTGGGCACCTAACTTACTAAGCAGTTTCCAACCTGTTTACAAGCTTGATTTGTTTGAAAATTCTGAGCGACTATCAGGGAACGAGAAAATCGCCGCAATGCACGAATCTGCGCCTGCACAGGATTCCGACAAGGCATACAGGCAGGCGGGCACTAGGACCCAGGCGCACCTGTCACCAATGACGTCGCCGGGCAGGCACTAGGACCCAGGTGTGCCTATCGGCACTGGGCGGGCTATTTAAAGAGCACCTCAGTGCTGACTGGTCTTTCAGCTCCCCCCCGTGTCCTGCTAGTTCCTGACGTTCCCTTTGTTGCTGACCTGGCTTGTTCCTGACCCGACTTTGATTGCTCTCTTGCTCCTGGTTCCTGACTTCAGCTCTGCTCCTGACCTTGGCTTTCTCTTCTGATTTGGTACTGCGCTGCCCGACTTTTTATGTCCCTGGCTTGTCTGACCCTGCTCCAGTCCTGTTCCTGGCTACCTACCCTGCTCTTCTGCACATCCAGCAATCCACAGTACCTGCCTGCTCTATTGCTACTGTGCCTTAAATCAGTGGATACTCAGTCTACCAAGGCCATCATCTGCAAGAGCCACAAGCAACAACTCCTGGCGCTCTTGTCCCCCTGGTCCCTAGACTCCCCCTGTTCCAACCTCTGTGCTAGGGACACAAGTGAGGCCGACCTCGTCAACTCAGTCTCTCATCAGGTACGTGACAGCGACTCTTTTTTTTTTTATTCTTCATTTAGGACAGACGGGTCATGTCCACTCATAGTAAAACATCCAGACATCAAAAATTCCATCAGATGACATTGTCGAGACAAAGGCATAAACATAGGCACATGTATAAAGGAAACATAAATGTAATCATAGCAGAGCATACCTAAGGTAAGTGAGACCTGCATATGTAAAGAAAAAGAAGAACTATCAGAATATGAGATGCATTAAGATTTGTAAATAACGGGTGGAACGCTGTATATTCATATACAAGAATAAAAAAACAGAATATCAGCATAGCAATTATACATAAACAATTGTTTATAACAGAGGTCTTCAAACTGTGGCCCATTGGACAGATGTGGCCCTTGCTTGCCTTTATCCGGCCCTTGGGGCACTATTCCTTCTACTGATGCCAAAGACAGAGCACTATTCCTTCCTATTCCTTCCACTTATGCCAAAGATGGAGCACTATTCCTTTTACTGACACCAACAATGGGGTACTATTCCTTCCACAGATACCAGAGATGGGGAACTAATTCTCCCACTGATACCAATGATACATTTTTTTTACTCCCACTGACCACCAAGCCTATGGTATTATTTACGCCCACCGATTCCTGGTCATTTTCTGCTCCCACTGGCCACAGTCCGGCCTCCTTAAAGACTGAAGGGCTGTAAACAGGCCCTTTGTTTCAAAGGATTGTAGAACAGTGGAAAATAAAGTAGAAGTTAGGGGTACAGAAAGATAGGGAGAAGAATAAAATAAAGAGGGAAACCAGGGCAGGTGGGGTTAGTGCACTAAAGACAGTGTTCTACATCTGCGTCCCAACATGTGGCCCAGAAGAGGCAAACAGTTAATATGTATGTAACGGAATCGGACCCGACTGCACTACGGTATTTCCGTTAGACTCCCGCTTCCCTGTCTCAACACAGATCCACGGACACCACCGCTGACCCAACAGGACTAGACGACACCAGTCTGTATAAACATGGAACTCTTTATTTGAAACTCGAACTGGCTTTTTATACACTTAGGGGACAAATCCCCCCTCCCTGCATAATGACACAGGGCGGGGCAATCTATATATCTCATCAGGAGGGCTGCTGGAAACACCCCCTGCCAAGCCAATACACAAACATACATCCCATAATAGTTTGCTCCCAAGCAAGACACACAATAGAACAATGGGACCACATGGCAGTAAACAATGAACAACCCCCACACCAATATTAGAACATTTCACCCTGTACCCCTAACAAGCACAGGGTGACTTACACATAATAGGGATATGGGGAGCTGAGACAGGGGTCTCCCCACCCCTCCAAAGGGGGCTGTGTTCCATGGGCCCCCCACCCAAAGTGACTCCCATCACAATGTACAAGTAGAAGAGTATCCACAAGTACCATCTAGAATGTATACATAGTAGCAG